GGAACCAAGTGTGACCATGCGGCTGAGAGTGCCAGATGCTCAAGCGATCCAACATGTAATTTGATTGTCAGCCGTACTGTTCCGTTCTGGGTCATTCATAGCATGTGATGTCACATTCATTTTCTGCACATGCTCTTTGGCAAGCCCCTTGTGTGTTCGCTCACCTCGAAGGTTTTCTCTTCGCGATTTGCATGCGCTGTTCATATCGCAAGGAGCTTTTGGCACGGCTCAGCAGATTGGAGGCGAGGAGTTTTCAGCCAGATTCGTGACCCCCAACCTCTATTCATTTTTTGTTCCGGGCTGTCGCTGGAAAACGTTGTAGATTGACAGAAGAACCGAGATGCGTTGCACAAATTTTGCGCATGACAGATTTGTTCACCCTTCCTCAGCTCGCAGTGTGATCACCTTCCAAGACGCAGTTAGTTTCTTTCGGGAGGCTTTGGTGGTGGAGTTGTGCCCTAGCCGCAGAAAGTTCCGATGACCTTGCGATGACCTGGCAATGACCTAGAAGCATGGCTGCGCTGGTAGCCTGACTTTCCAGGATGGTGAGGTTGTACTGAGCCTATCGAGCGTTTCTTTTGAGCTCGCAGTCTGAGACCTTAGCTAGAACGCTGGATAACTAGTTTGGCATGCGGAAAGAAAGTATGTTATACGGTAGGTCCGAAACGCTTGAATTCGTGTTCCAAGTGGTTCTGCATGTTGGCACATTTGCTGGAAACCTCCTGACACGGTTGAATTACAGATCGTGTTGACATCTTCACATACCTTAAAAACTCATTGAAATGTAATCGCATATGAACGGAATAGTTAGCTTGAAAGGGCCTGAAACGGCCTCAACATGCAGCAAAAGTCCCTCGGCGCACGTCGAAGAGTTGTACGATAAATGTGTCAACCTGATATCAGCCAATGTCTAGAGGGAGCATATCCTCAAATGCCTTGAATTGAAGCCCTCATTGCCTACCACTTGAGGCTTCGGCGTACACAAGCGCAGTCTCAAGGCTTCAGGGTGGTAAGCATGGTCTCACTAGACTCACTTGTTGCAAGCATGATGGCTGCGGCTGTCATGCTGCAAGGCAATGCCAATACCAATGTGCTGGATCCTTTTACTTGTGCTCGCCTCTAGCATCAGTTAGGTGGCGATGTTGTTGATGCTCTTGACAAGGTATTAGCAACGCATGTAGAGCTCATCGTTTACTCTGGCTGAACCGGCGACCAGGGCAAACAGCTTGCATTGAAGAGATGGACTCATGTTTGTTTTGCTTAAAGAAAGAAAAGTGGCTGAAGAATTGCCCAGCACAGCTGACCTGCCAGTATTGTGCATTGCTAGGATAGCCGAGGCACTGCACTTCCTGTCCTGGCCTGGTGCTAATCGTTGGGCTGTCATCTCTGTAAGCCTTAACCCCAATCGCTAAACTGTTGGAGCCACCACATACACAAAGTGAAATTAAACATCCAGAGATATCCAGAGTTTACATTCACAAGCAGTTACAAGAAGTGCAAGACTACCACATTCGGGGCCCTGACCTTATTGTGTGTGGTGTAGCAGACTGACACGTAGGGATTTTGCGACGCTCGCCACGCAGAAGCATTTGTGGCAAATGCTGCCCTTCCGCCCAGTACTCGTCCTGAAGATTCTCGGGGTCTTTTTCTCAAGGGTACTTAGGAGCATCTTCAGTGTCAAGCTACCCACATTATGAACCACCAGGAGTTCGGCTGAACAAGGTCTTGATCACCTCAGAAGAAGTTCCCCTGCAAGCAAAAGCCGGTGGAAGTGAACAGCGGCAGATGATGACTTTGCTGATGTTGCAATTTTTGCTGGTATGGTCCAGCGTAGCAAGCCTTCACGAACCCTTCTGGCCCTCCGTCCTGTTCCTTGAAAATTTCGTAGCGTTAGGAATATGCTGCGCCTTCCTTGTTCATGGAACCGGGATACTCAAAGGGTCATTTCATGCGAGTTTTAATGCTCTCACCAATCATGTCGAACTTGTTCCGGCAATCTGTAGAAGGAGCCTGGCTTTCAAAAAACGATCTGCACCATGTACTTGCTGCTGCTACTGTATACCAGACCCAGTACAAAATCCATGTGCTGCCATGACATGTCTTCCTCCAGATTGGCTCCTCTCTATTCAGAATATGAGCGTAAATCAAGCTATGGCCGTTCTCTGGCCTGCCACCCCAGACCTGTGGTACAGCTGACAATGATGTGTTGAGCCCTGAGGCCGCTCATCTGAGCGTAGGCCAGAATTCGCACTTTGCATTTTGGTGATCCTTGAATTTGACCTGGCAGGGGGGCGGCTGGGTGGGCAAGAGTGTACAAAGCATGCAGAATCTTACGGACACAGCCAGGGTGAGCGGAAGAACCCACCTACGCCCCGGGCAGCAAGGTACGTCCATCCCGACTGAGGTTTTGGGTGGGCGACAGGGATTTAGGAAGCCCCTCCATCATCTGCCAAAATGTTGGCCACTGATGCTTCGTGTTGCCCAGTGATAGATAGATATGTCTAAATACTCCCCCCGTCCCCCATAGCAATGTTGTATATTCCCTGCAGTGGTCCGAATGTTTGGGGTACGCATGTGGTATTAGGGGAGCAGGGTGTGTGTAAGATTCGGAGGATGCTATGAATGACGTTCTTATCAGTGGCTGGGCCGTGTTTCAAAACAAGGTGAGGGGATCCAGTTTCACATCACGATTGCTATCCGGGGGTTCGAAATCTCGTGTGCATTTACTATGAGACTTTTTTTCGTTTGCTAGCATTGAGTAGCGCGAGCTCAGCAAACAGAAAAAAAGAGATTCTGTATCTTGCAAGATGACTGCTATTCTTGGCCATAATCTTTACCTGAAGTCCCGCATAGGGTATCCGCGCTGAGCTGATGCTACTGTAGCAGAAAGGCGGGTGCAACGAGCACATGTTTTCTGAGTGATGCACTGCCGTAGACTTTGAAGATTAAACATGTATTTCCAGTTTTGTCCAGCCCTTATCGGGATTTTCGACCCTTACGAGAAGTGAAAACATGATGCGGCGTCATGTCCTCGCCGCTGTAGGTGTTGTAGCCTCAACAGTTGGCAAATTGTGTTCAAGAGGCAAAGATGGCCATCTGCAGAGCTCCGCGACCGGACCAAGTGGGTGATGTCGGTGTACGTCTGGTTCATTGTTGTGAGCTCATGTTATTTCGGGGTCTTCTTGACGGCGTCCCGCAAAAGGTTTATCTTCTGTGAACAGTGATCGGTGTATTTGTGTGATGAGGTCAGCTGGAAGGAGGTGTTCTTCTGGAATATTCAATCAGTTTTGGTGCAGTGTATTTCGATTAGATGTCAAAACCGGTTTTAGACTGGCTTCATCACGAACCGTTACGGGCGTTTGGCTCGAAATGCAACAGCTCCGCAGTTTGAGGAAACTGTGAAGTATTAGGTGCCTGGTGCCACGGAGTGCGCTGCCGGGGCCTTTATTTTCCGACAGGTTGATAGCTTGAACTTGCAGTATGAGCACTGGCTGATGCACGGAACGCGCTATGAACATGTTGTGTCAAACATTTCATCGAGTACTTCAAGCACAGTAACCGTACATATTGCTGAATGCGCGCTTGACTGCCATGGCTGCTTCCGCGTACAGCGACTTCATGCAATTAGAAGCAGGTTGCATGACTTCCATGAATTGAGCAGCAAGAGTTCGGGCGAGGTGTCGGGCTAGGATATATGCTGCTCTCTGAACCTGGGTGTCTTTCGAAGTCATGTAGCTAGTCACAATTCAGGACGTAGATGACAGGGATATGTCCGCTTCGTAAGTATTTTGTGTTGCTGTGGTGCCTTCTTCACCACGAGGATGGAATTTCAAATTGAGATGAAGCAGCCATAGTTAAACCTTGAAAGCTCCGCGTCCTAAACTTTCCTCATGTCTCAAGGCCTAGACGCCGAACACCCTACGGTTCTGAGACAACGTACTGCACAAACCCACGATATGTTTGAGATTCCCGGGGGTTTCAGGTTCATTCAAGGCTTTGGGAGCGTACAGCTTAGAACTGTAGCCTGGGTGTTATCCTTGGGATTTGGTTAAACCTATTTAAACCTCACAGTACACTGGCCCCTCCCTGCTTCCCGCGAACTTTGAGATTATGTCTTCGGCTGCCCTCAGCACGCACCACAGCGTTTGCAATCCTCTTGCGATAGTGTAGGCTGGCAGAGGTAGCAGCCGTAGTAATACGCTTCGTACAACTGGCCGTGTCAAAGTCTTTACGTAAAGCAACGGTGAGGCGAACGCTGTGGAGGCGCTGGCAGCCAGCTAGCCCTATAGCGGCCACGGAGTGGGCTCATGTGCTTGTACAGAAGGCTATGGCACATTCAGATCCCTGCCCCACGCTTTCCATGCTTCCCTGTGCAAACATTGCAGAAACAGTGTACAGGAACAGATCGTTGAAGCTCGGAAGCGCGGGAAGCATCGTCAGCAGTCTCATGCTTCGTGCGCTCACACATGTGTGGTCAATCCCAGGCAAACCGGGTAGATCCTCGGGCGCTTGGCTCTCGGCTTTTGGGGCGAGGAGCTTTCCTGTGAGCAGAGCCCAAATCCCGAATGGATAGAGGGCATTGCCTGGCAATATTTTGATTCTCCAGCACATCTAATCCTGCCATTGCCGGTTGAAGCGATAGACTCCGAGCTTGATGCGTTCGAGCTGTTTGGCTCATATGCCGGGCAGATGTCACTGCTAGTTTCTCAGTTCAGATTCTTCCTGCAAGTATGCTTGCAGTGATCCTGTGCATGGTTGGCCTGCGTGCTGCATGCGCCCACTTGGACTTCCATGATTTTCAGCCTCCGGTGCATCCTTCCTTGCAGGACTTCCACTTCCTGGAGGTCTTGAAAGTGCAAAAACTGCAGGGAAACCTGCAAAGCCACAGGAGTTGGAAGCCACCCCAGGGCCGCCACCAAGCTCACCAAGCGTTCCCTCAGCTCGGGTTGCCCAACATCGCTTACCTCCCAGACTTCTCGAAGTTCGGCTTTGGGGCATGGATGGATTCCTTTGACACATTCCGTGCCCTGGCCAACTTCCCACCTGCGCTGAAGCCTGAATTCCACAATCCCAAGGAGCTGGGCGCTGGAGGCTTTGCGGTGACCTTCTTGGCCAACCGCACTTCGACGGGGGAGATGGTGGCCGTGAAGGTACTACAGCTGCAGACAACGCCAACAACGAAGGAGTGGCTAACTCCCAGAATGTACTACAATGGAGGTCCTGTACTGAAGGCCCACATTGATCAAAGCCGCGAGGAGTGCCAGAGAACACAAGCGATCCACAAAGCAGACAAAGAAGATCCGGAGGCTTCAAAGCATGTGATGCAGTGCCTGAACGATGCCATCACGCCGGGCATCATGAACCAGACTCTTCCGGACCTGCCATTGCACCTGGTCCTCAGCTTCGCAGGCACGGACGACGTGGACAAATGGTGGGACAACAAATTGAAGTCCTCCTTAAGCTCCAAGCAGTACGTGCAACTCTTGAAGTCTGCCTTCCAAGACATCTTCACCGGCTTGAAGTTCTTGGCGGAGAGCAAAGGGACCCAATGGATTCATCACGACCTGAAGCCTCAGAACATGGTCATGAACGAGGACTCCTCTTCAGAACCGGTAAGACTCAGACAGCTGCAAATTAGGGAGAAGCCCTGCCCCAGCAGGAGACCCAGAAAGTCGTCATTGTCGATCTCGGCGCCTTGATCTCCAGCCAGGACCCTCTTGGCACCGAGACGGCCGCCACATGGCTCTTCCGACCTCCGGAGGCGGAAAATCTTGAGCTTAGAGTCTAGGGAGGTGGCCAGGGAAGAAGCCCCTTTCAGCTTACTGGTGGTATGGAGGTAATGAAGGAACCGATTGTGGAGATTTTCGTTTTATAGTTGCCTTCAAAAGACACCAACATGGTCAAGAGTCACTTGAAGCAACACAAACACCTAAGAAGTGAACTCAAGTAACTTGCGATTGTCCTGAGCTTTGCGAGGTGGAACACATCGTCTACTTGGCGAACAGCGTGGGCTTTGAAGCCCCCCTCTGGTCCTTTGATGTCCACTCCGCGGCACTCTCCTTGCTGGGGATGAGCACTGATGGCAACCATGGGCCACTGTTGCAGATGGCGGCGGTGCCACTCTTCTCGTGGATGATGGTCGAGGGGGTGCAGAACTCCTTGGCATCTTTCAGAGTCTCGGCCCAACAGAACACTTCCCTGTTTAGTGCAAGTATGTCTGAACCGGAATGCACACAAGCCCTAACCTTGAGCAATGAGCAGCTTTTTTTTTTCTAAGCATCAAAGGACTCTGGAAGCAAGTCGGCTCATGTGCTTCAGCAAAGCCGGACGAGCCTCTTCCACAAGCCTTTGCCAAGTGCCTTTCGGCTGCCCCCCGGCTCACTCAATTGACCGCGGATCCTGAAGAGGGGAATGTCTCCGTGAGACGGTCCGGGAGTGGGAAACTACAGGAATCAGTGCAGGATCTCAGCTGACAGGGTTTGCCAAGGTTTGCATGGAGTTTTGACCGTAGCTCGCCCAGAATGGCAAAAAAACGAGGCTCTTAGCCAGCTTGTGCAAGCTCCTCGTTTACCAGCCTGTAGCTCCCATATGCTCCCAGGCCTCCATGCCATCTTGAAGTCATGCCAGTATCTGCGTGGTGGCTTTTTGCTATTCCAGAACACCAGTGATCCCGTGGTGTAAGGCTTGGTAGTTGTGGATTTGAGAGGGCTACTGGGGTGACGAATTGCACAGAGGTCCACATGCCCATCATCTTTCTAGCCTAGCTTGATCATGGATTTTTTTGTGTGCGCATCAGTGTGCGATTCTGCGAAGTGGTTCAGTGACCCAGGCTTCCATCGAAAAATACAAGCAGCTGCTCGGAAGTCGCCTTGAAGAGATCTCTGCGCAAAAGTCTCTTGATGCGCGCAAGGCGGCTTGGGCCAGTTTTGTGAGTTGCCGAAAGTCCAACACCCAACCGAGTAGTCTCGTGAAGCAGCCGGCGCAATTATTTAACTCGCACGCGGCACCATTCTTCTGGCTCTTGCTGGACGACTGGATCAACACCGGCTTCGACCAGGTTCTCTTGAAGATGTTGAGCACAAAGCCAGAGGAACGCCCAAAGCCCAGCGAGATCTTGGAGGCCACTTGGTTCAAGAAGGAGATTGAGATCCCAGAGGAAGGCAACAGGGTGGAGTTCACTTGCCCAGATTATCCAATTTCAGAGCTTCGGGTCATGTTTTACACCTGGTGCGCGACCCTCGGCTTGAGCTTGCTGACCTTTTGCATTTGCATCGGTGGAGCCTGCTGCACTCTCATTAAAGATGTGCCTGCATGGAAGTGGAGCATGCCATGGGGCGGCCTCATGGTCATCGCGGCTCCCATTTCTGAGTTCTACGTGCTGGACCCCATCCCTGCTTACGTCTTCCTCCTTCTGATGTTCCCTTTGGGCCTGATCCTCCTGATGGCTCCCTGCGAGATTAAGGCTCTCAAGGAGAGGAAGCTCCTGTTGGTTCAGATCTCTGCAGCCATCTGCGCGATGCTGCTGGCTGCGCATCAGTGGGCCATTGCATTCATGGCAGGTTACCCCAAGGATGCTGCGGGTCAAGTGCTGATTGGCCTCGTAAACCTGCCGTGGGCAGTTTTCCAGGCTTTTCTCACGATTTCAGGTCTCCCGTGCTTCTACGGCCTTGGATGCTTGGTCATCGCAATGCTGAGCTCTTGGATGCCAGCTGGCACGCAGACGGCGTCGGAGCCTGTTGTCGAGCTTCAGTCAGTGCCGGCATAAACGGCCGCTAAGACTACTAACGCTGCAACAATTCATGCTATTGCAAAGTCTCACACAACTCGCGTGCCCTCGTGGAAACATTTCTGCTATCCTGCCACGCCGCAACTTGCCTTGATGTGCTATGCCATGCAACCGGTGCTTCGCCTAAACCCCTGAACGAATGCAGTTTAAAAATCACCCCGAAGCTTGTGATCCTACAACTCAAATTGCTTCTATGGAGATGACAAGTAGGCCACTTACCCCATTGGGCAACTTCAATTGCTCCGTTGAGCTCTCCGGAGCCCGACAGAGAGCTCTTCATCATGCTCAGACGCCCCCTGACATCGAGTAAGCTCATGAGTAAGACTGTTCTCAGTCGGTGGTTTCACATGATAAGGAGATGCTATTCTCCTGAGGTTCTCGGCCGACTGAGCTGGGATTCACGTCGACATTGCAGCACGATCAAAAAATGCCTGCCTGACTGCAGAATTGTGCAGTTTCGTCAGGAATCCTACCCCAGCCCAACAGAAGGCTTAAACAATTCCTAGCAAGCCTCAACCCAAAACCCTGAAGCCTCTACATCCTAAAACAGTAAAGCCCCTAAGCAAAAAACCAGGAAGCACGCGAGAAAGTAGTTCTGAGGCACTTCTCTTCTTTTTTCCTTTTCCCCCCCCTCCGCCTTACTACTACT